AAAGTTTTACGATTAAAGGGGAAAAGCTCACCATTCACATCCAATCCCTCCACTGCACTGTCAGGCTTGTCAGCTGATTCCTCTAGTATCTCAGCATCAATGCTGGACACTACTCGATGGTTTGATGTTGTTCCAGGCTCAGTCCTTGTGGGGGGCTCAGGCGGAGGCCTCCGGCTCTCCTCTTTCCTACACCCTAAGTCCTTGTGTGGAGACTTCCTAGACTTGGCAGGATTCTCGGACTCATCATCATCATCAGAGCCACAAACAGAAATAAATTCCTCACTTCCAGAGAAAAGCTCAGATTCAGACTCCTCATCTGATCGGCTGTCCTGTTTGACCTGGGAGGAATCAAAATGCGTCTCCTGCAGGGAGGCCCTGATGGCAGCTTCCATCTGACTATCCTCACTAGCATCAATGAGGCTCTCCTGTTTGATATAGCCATAACAAAGAAATGAAAAAACAAATAACTAAGCAAAATGTTTTAAACAGGAATTAGAGGACTTTAACAAAGGGTTCTCAGGTGACACCTGATAGGTGTGTAATGATTAAATGGTGTGGCAGCCAGCTGTTCTACAATTTTAAAGCCTGTAAGTATTTCTCCTTTTTGAGAAATACGTAAATTCTCCACAATTGACATCTCCCCCTCCCCAACTCCACTATATTCTCTGAAGCAATGCTGATCATGAAGTACTGTCTATTTCAATCATTCCCAAACCTTTATAATTTGGTTGATCACCTGCGCTCTTTCAACTGTCCAGTCTTGATTTCCATATGGCAGCTACAGTATTTGTCTGCATGGAAAAGTACTAAAGGTCTATAATAAAGAGGCAAGTCGTAATAAGCTCCCTTTAATGTGGTGGTTCCAAACTTTTCATGCAGTACCCTCCCTTATCCCTGCTGCCTCCCACCCCCCAGGAGGCACAGTCGGGAGCTGAGGATGGGGCCAGAGCTGCAGCCAGGCCAGCAGGTAGTGGCTGGTGGCCCAGGGTGGGTCTGCAGTTGCACGCAAGGCTGCAGCCAGGGGGCAGAGAGGAGGTAGGTAATGCTCCTTCCCCAGCCCCTACAGGGGCTGGCCTAACGCGGCCCCTCCCACGAACATTCCTCTGCACCCCCTTAAGGAGCTGTGCCCCACATTGTGGGGACCACTCTTTTAATGTGATCTGTGCAGCTGCTGGATGAATCTCTCCCTCTCCCAGGGCTCAGGAGTTGACAGTTCTAGTCCCAAATTTTCTTTAGTTGATGACCTAGCCTTTCCAGATCACTCAGTAATTTGGTTCTGTCCTCTGCTTGCAACCCCTTCAATTTGTTTTTTGCAAATTTCATCAGGGCTTAGTTTATATTGAAGAATCACTCAAAAGACACATACAAAGCTACTGCACAAGTTACAGCAAGGTGCTTGGGTTTTAGTTTAGTTGCTCACAAAAAAACCTCTGGAATCTGTAAGAATCCAGGTCTGGGGTACAATTAGCAGGAAAAACAATTGTGTAAAGAGCGACAGAAGCGTCATCATTTTGAAAGAGGCAATTCTATGGAGATTAACTAATCTAAATAGGAAATTATGCATTCTACACTTTTCATGGATTAACTCCAGTACTGAAATTTGTAGTAGTTTACTGAAAGACATTTTGCATGACATTAAAATCACAATGAGTATTTTTAAAAAGCTTCCTTTTAGGATTATTGTATTCTAGAAACCTGTACAAGTGAACCAGGTGGCGGGAGAACAAGCTCTAGTGCAAAGTACCTGTACTTTCCTCTCACCTTTATTTTCAGTCCGTCCTTCCAAGACACCAACCCTACCACTTAGTTCTTATTTTATTTGGAGGTGTGGGGGTCGAGAGGTTAGGGATACCACAGATGGTTGAAAACCCAACTACAGAGAAGAATTCCCCACCCCGTAACATCAATCAAATAAACAACATTTAAATTATAGTGCACCCTTTCTAATATTTACACCTCATAATTCAAATCCAACAAACCTCTCATTTCTACCTAGCAATTTTAATAGCAAAGTGATGTTATGAAAGCTCATATTACTATGGCCATTACATTTGTAACAAATACTACAGATTATGTAGTAATGAACAAAACAAAACTACTGATCAAAAAGGAGAGAAAGTACTTTCTCTGATGCATTATCTGCATGTTTTGTGCTTTTACTCACTTGTTAGTTCACACAAGTCTATTTGCATTTCCCATGCAGTGGGATGAGAGGTTCTACTGGACCAGACACAAATGTGCTGTTTTTCTCTTTCCCTCCCCCTACCCACAAGGCCTTATACTTACAGAGCGGGAACATTTTTGGGGAGGGCTGGTAGAATGTCCATCCAGTTGCCCATGCTCACCCAGGAAACCAGTCACTTGGTCCAAGAAAGAAGTTACATCCAGTTGGTGCCACTCCACTAATTTCTGGCCTACGGAACACACAGGAACATTGGACCTCATTTCACTGAGGGGACCCTCAAGAGATTTTTGCTTAGCAACTAGGAGCATAAAACAAATTTATTTTAAAGCACATAATGCTTATTAGCTTTTATAAAGGTCCATTTTTGTTCTGCAAAACTGATGTGAGGAAGCAAGGGTGGATTTATGGAGGCCCCTACACCTTTTTTATACTAAATGTAGGCAGTGTCCTTTTCTCCAAAGCTTTCACATCCTCTAAAGACCCTCATTCATGGCCCCACCAAGCTAGAGGTACGAGCCTGTCTCCGTTTAAAGTGCTCATCAGAACAGAAGTAATGGCTTCTTTCCTGTATGCAAGAATGTATGCATACCACACACAATGAATGGAATGTTAAAATTCAAGTTTTTAGACAATAAATTCATAGTTAAGATTTCTTCAACGTGAATAACGCAATCTTTTGCCTGGATGGATCTGACATCCCAATCTGTGAGGTTTCTTTCCATAAACGTATATTGTAATGAGTTAAGTTTATTTGTTGTCTACCTTAAAATAAGAATAAATGGGGAAGATTACAAGGCTGGAGAAGCAAAAGTAACTAAGGCTTAATTTTATACAACAAAAGGTTAAATGGAACAACCCTAATACAACTGCAAGGTCTTTCTTAAGCTTGCAATGAAAAGGCCAGTGAAGAAAGGGAGTAGATATCAGAACCTGGTTTTCCTATAGTCACATACTAAGTGACTAGTTCTAAACAGAATAGCGAGGTTTGGAATTCTCAAAGGGCTGCAGCCCACCAGGAATAAAGACTCCTAAGTAAACTGCAATTCAATCCCTTTGGAAGGAGCACTAGAGAGAAGTTACCGTTAGAACCTCAGTTATACGTATAACCTTCATACATAAAAATCAGGAGGATTATCCGAGCCTGAGTTTCAGTAAAGCAGATTCTTTTATTGTTATCTAGCAGTAAGAAATCTCAGGTCAGCACTCATTACAGAAACCAATAATTCAGTATGAGGAAATTGAGGACCAGTGATGGTTTGGGGGGAGGGGAAGAGAATCAGAAGATTCCTTGGGGACCTTAAAAAAACCACACCACAGTAGATTCATTTTGTCCAGCATTCCAAAAAAGGGTCAAAGCCAAATATTGCACTGATATTTAAAATTAAGATGTGACTAAAATAATCATTTCTGAGCCTCCTGGTAGTGCCTAACATGCTACTATGACATTAACTTTTGATTTGCAGTGGTGTTGTAGCAGTGCTGGTCCCAGGATATTAAAGAGACAAGGTGGGGGAGAGTATTTTTTATTGGACCAACTTCTGTTGGTGAAATTGGCAAGCTTTCGAGCAATACAGAGCTCTTCTTCAGGTCAGTTTGCAGACTAAGACCCTAAAAGTAAATAACCGACTTCAGATTTGCATTATTCAAGCAGAGAGAAATGAAAATAGTAAACAAAGAGCACCACTAGTGAGTGAACAGATTTTTAAAATTATTTCACTTTTAACGGTCTAAGGTGTTTTTAAATACCACAAGTAAAGAAATGTTTGTTTATAACATGGTTTAAATTAGCCCTTTAAAGGGCACTTCAAAGCCAGTTCATGATTTGGCCAAAAAGTGTTACCAATTTTGTTTTCCAAATGGACAGATGAAGCTAGCAAGCTAAACTGAAATCAAGTGTCACTACGCAAAATTTGTGCAGAACTTGGATTTTTATTCATTTAGTTCTTTTGTTAGATTCTTAGTCCACATAATCTTTAACGGCTTCAGTGCCTCTCAGAAAATGTTGCTGTTTGTATACAGACATTTAGAATGTTACAAAATAATTTACATATTTTAACCCATATTAACTAGCACTGCCAAAAACAAGCAGAACTAAACATTCCAGATTACAAATCAGCAGTCTGTCTGAAGTTCATATGTATTGTCCTTCATCTTACCTGTCCTGGGGTCCAGAATGGAGACATAAGGGAAATCTGCCAGTTTATAAAACTGTATGTATCTCTGTCCTTCCTCACTGTCATGGTATACCTACAGAACACCAAATTTGAAAAAAGTTAATGCCTCAAAACTGAACAAAATGTGTCTTTATTTTCCCATATACTCTACACTTTGTATGTACACAATTCCCATTAACTTGTCCAAACATTAGTAAGTGGATTTTGTTAGCGTAGAAAGGTCATAGACCCCAAAAGGCTAGTTTTGAACACCTGGCTTTTAAAATTGTTTTAATATACACTCATTTCGGTAATGTGAGATTAAATCCACAATTCAATCTTTCTTGGCAGTTCTTAGAGAGCACTGGGTTTGGTTTTGTTTATAAACTACAAGAGGCTTGTTTTTGTTGCCTCACTCCCATCAATTTCTACCTTCAACGTATCTCTATTAGCCTCTCACCTGCCAAAAAATGAAATGCTCCCGGATAATGTTCTTCACAGCCTCATTGCTCCAGACGTCACGGTTGAGACACTGACATGCAAAGTCCTGCACATTCTGGATGTTAATCATGAGCCATTTATTCTGCATCTGACCACACTCTTTGGCCTTCAAGCAGACAGAAAGAATACATTATTTAAAAACAAAAGGCTAGACAGAAACAACGCCCGCAATGATGGGTTCGATTTGTGCACCAGGCTTCACCAAAACCCCTTTACAGTAGAAAGGATGATCAGAACTAGCAAAAGTCATCCTCAAACACCTGACAAACAGAGGGCAGGGCTAGAAGACCTGCTTAACTGCAGTTCAAGTTGCCTAAATGTATTTAAAAAATATAAAAATTAAAATCGCACTTTGGTTAACTGAGTTCAACAAGCCAAGCCCAGGAGGATAGGGAGAGGAAGCAACTTGAGAAGCAAAAGACTGAAAATGGAAAAAAAATCTGAATTAACCATTTGTTCAGAGAAAACAGAGTGAAGTGAGTCACATCTGATAGCAGAGGAAAGACCTGGTTACTCAAAAGGAAAATTTGTGGACCCCTTTTCTGTGTAAATAGGCTAAAGCTACTGACTGGGGACTTGTATTTATACAACAGCCTCTTTTTCCCCCACTATTCATTTTTTCTAGATTTTATGTTGTTAGACTTAATTTTGGTGTGACTGCCAAATCAGGAGTCGTTTTCTGATGCTCATTCAGACTGCAAGTGGCAGGGGGTGGGGGAGGAATGGGAGGGTTTGAAGTCGCAGGAAGAGATCTTACTGGTTTGAGTCACAAAGCTGGCATTGTCTGATTGGTTGGTTGCAAGTTAATGGTAGGAGTTTGATCAAGAATGTAATTCTGATAGCTGAATTGTCAAACCTGTTGAAAAAAAGAGGGCTTTATCAAAAGTAGGAATGCTCACATCTCCAGGATAGATTGGAAATAGTGATGAACTTTCCTAAAAAAAAAAAAAGAATTTACTTACATGAGGTTGCACTAACTGCATTACTCATGGGGGGGAGGGGAGCAAATTGAAAGGTTTAGGGTATTTCACCAGATTTTACTGTCTTCTTCAGAACCTAAGCTTTAACTTTTAGAATGAAGTTTCTTGTCTTGTCTACCCACTCGTATCAGTGAATTGTAAATTTAAAACCTCAATATTACCATTCCAATTCTAATACTTCATTTAATTGACAATTTAGTTAGGACTTGTATATGTTAAGGAAAGCTGGTTCAAGTTTACTTACTGTGCACAGGACCTCACATTAAACACCTAGGTAATAAGATTTCTGCATGGCCAGTTGACAGACCAATTGTGGCCTAATTTTCCATTCACTTGAAAGGACATCATCCAGGAATTAGGTGCACATAGGATATGCCAGTACTCTTGCATATTCACATAATAAGCACTTTAGTACTTATCTTTAAAGTGCTTCTCATTCATTAGTTAATCCTTACAACACTCCTTGGGCACCTATTTAACAGAAGGGGAATCTAAGTAAGTGGCCTGATTTTTCAATATGCTCACCAGCTCCAAAGGAGACAAGCCTTTTATTTAAGTACCCAAATATAGATTTTGATGTCTAATTTTTGGAATAATGACTTGCCCAAGGCTCAGGAGGAAATCCATATCAGAATGTATATTTAGACCCAAGAGCCCTGGTCCCAGTCCTGTGCTCTGACCCTCAACTCTACTGGATTACAGGGAGACTGACTAAGAATTCCATTCTGTCTGCACAGAATCTCTCCTACTCTTGTTACATATGCCTAAATTACTATTTAAAAAAGAAGACTCAGTGGGAAAAAGTCTAATTTTTTTACTTTTATGTGTATTTGCCAGTGTTTTGTGTAGTCAGTTTCACTCCCCTCCCACCCAAATATAGTCACTTTCCCCTTTAAAAGTTTGTGAACAAGAAAAACCCATACAATATATTGACAAAAAGAAGTCTATAGAGATTGATGGGGGGGAGGGAGGAGATGGAAAAGAGGGGAGTGCTTCAGGGCAAGTGTAATGCCAGAATTACTTTAAACTAATTTTTAAAACTGATCAGATTTCATACCGTGACCTTTCAAATAGTAAGACTCTTGCCACTACCTTTATTTACAGCATTAGACAAGCACTGGACTCCCAGAAATGACTTGCAGTACCTGAATTTTCTACAAAAACTTGATTTGGTTCAATAGCAGTCACAATTTATTTTGATAATGTGATGAATATTTCTGAATGACTCCTTTTGTATTACTGAACTAACTAGAACTAATATCAAGTTTATTTATTCATTGGAACCCCACTGTGCCAGGTGCTATACAAACACACAGACTGTCCGTTTCAAAGAGCTTGCAGTTTAGACACACAAGGGAAAGGAAATAGAGGCACAGACTTGTCCAAGGTCACAGCAAGTCAGTGGTAGAGCCAGAAATAGAATCCCCAGTCTCAGGTCCCCAGACAGGGATCAGATCTACTAGACCATGCTGCCTGTCCAATATATGAGAGAATGTGACCAAAAAAAAATTTTTTTGCACATTTTAAAGGACAGCATCTTCTCAAAGTTCACTTGCGCATATGTGGTAGAGTAAAACAGGAGGAGTCTGAACTGGTTGGTACAAACAGCTGGTCATATTTGGTGTTCCATTTATACCACACAACCCTATAGCTGTGTATTTTTTGTTGTTAGAAACAGAAATTCATAAGTATTTTACTAATTAAGTTACACCAATACAAACTCACTGACTAATGGGATTGTACAAGATTAAAGGATAGCCTAATCTGGCCATCAGAACCTTTATTACATGTGAGGATAAACAAACCCAAACTTGATTTAGAGCAAAACTGATCGTTGGAAGACATCTTTTTAACCTGAAAACTAACAGTATGGACACAGAAACAACACTGATCTCTACAACATAATTTTTATTACGCTTTTCAAAGAAGCGGCACACTTTTAATGTTCAAATAAACGTTTTACCCATTAAAAGTTTAGAACCAGGTGCCACATGGCTAGCTGCTTACAAACATCTAAGAATGCACCTGAATCCTGACCACCAGATTCCTAGCTATGCCCGCTTCATGTGTATCCTGAGTAGATGCTGCTAATTACACCTACAATGCTTGTGGGGGTGGTGAAGAGGACAGGCCTGTGACATACAAAAGTGTTCTTTTGGGAGTAGGATGAAACCAAGCGTTCACTTATGATCTTCTCAAGAGCTATCCAGCAAGAACTCAACGCTCCTTTTAACCATGACTAAGCTCTCCACTTATTATTTCCAACCCATTGATCTGTCCCTGAATCGCCTCCCAATTCCCATCTTCACACTCTTCATGCATATTTCCCTCGTCTTCAAGTACTCTACAGTAACTCCTATCATAAAGTACCTCATTTCACCTCTCCTCTATTTCATTACGCTAATCGGATCCATGTACAAAGACAATATTTAGTGTCGCAGTGGTTTAGTGCATGGGCTCAACTCCATTTTAATTTTTTGTTCCATACTGAAGTCTACATTAAGCAAGGCTGAATATGATAGAGAATGTATGAGCAATCTCAATTCTGCCTCCTTGTGCATATGGCATGCAATGACAGACTAATTACTTGCTCACATACTGTTTCTCAAAACACAACACACTTTCTACAGTTTCAGAGACACTTCAGTGTTTAAAAATGCAATCTTAATGCTTTTAACACAGGCTTATGGTGTGTGTGGAATTTCCTAGTTATTTAAAAAGAAAGGTGGGGGTGGTTTCAAGCTGTTTAAGACTAACATATTGTTGTTAGTAGTACCTTCTGTGCCATGGACCTCTGGAGATCTGCAAGAATGAATCCCCCTCCTGTTTACTGAGGAGCTCTTTTCCACAAACATGAGGAGTTGCAGAGAGCCCTCTCCTGCAAACCTTTAGGTGTTAATGTACAGCAGTCTACAACAATGGTTCTCAACCTTTCCAGACTACTATACCCCTTTTCAGAAGTCTGATTTGTCTTGCATACTCCAAATTTCACCTCATTTAAAAACGACTTCCTTACAAAAGCAGATAAAAATACAAAAAAGTGTCACAGAACACTATTACTGAAAAACTGTTTACCTTCTCATTTTTATATAATTATAAAATAAATCAATTGGAATATAAATATTGTACTTACATTTCAGTGTATAGTATACAGAGCAGTATGAACAAGTCATTGTCTGTATGAAATTTTAGTTTGCACTAACTTCACTAGTACTTTTTATGTAGGCTGTGGTAAAACTAAGCAAAAATCTAGATGAGTTGATTAGCCCCGAAAGACCTCTGCATACCCCCAGAGGTATGCATACCACTGGTTGAGAACCATTGGTCTACAGGACTAAATCAGGGCTCTTACAGAATCCTTGCCTCAAGCTATGTTCACCTTCACAATACAGCCAAGTTTGCCACATGCAGATAGCAATAAACCCTATGTAAAGTGTACTGATCACATGAAAAATGGGTCATAACTTGATCAAAGACAAATCAATACTCACTGGAACATTCAAAGGCATTTTTCCTCAACAAAAGCTACTTCCAATGCCAAAATTGAATTTTCTACCCATAACAGTTTAGACCGGGGATGGGGGAATGGCTGGTGCAAAAAGTTGCAATTTTTTAAATTGTATTTATTTATTTTAAATAGTTGGAAAAGCTTACTCCTCCCTCCCCCCCCCCACACACACACTTAAAAATGACAACTTGTCATGACAGAAAACCTCAAAAAACATTAAGAAGTGCGTAAGTTGACTTAAGTTGCAGATGAAAACTAGAAAATTACAGCCCAAAGAGATGAGCTACAAAAATCTGAATGATTGAAAATAAGGGATTGAATAGAAATGCCCACGTAACCTTAACTAGAGTGGATACTGCCACCCCTGCTATCTTTTGTGTAAATGTCACAGATGTGAGTAGCCCTATCTATAAAATAAGCTATGGTCCCTCCCCTGAGGAATTTAGAATCTAACACAGGAACAAATGATCTAAATATTTATTTAAATAAGATAATACCAAGATCCGAGGGTGTAAGCAAATATTTAATCTTAGAGATTTCTGGAGGCAAAAACTTTAGCTTATGACCATTAGAACTGTCACATTAGGTTTACTAGATTTCATAAATGTATCATCTAGTTAGGTACATGGAGGGGGGGGTTAGCTAGTTGTGCCTGAGTTGTACCTAGCTAGAAGTGAGTTTTGAGGAGGGTCTAGAAAACTGTGTAGTTACCAGGTATACAAGAGGAAGGAGGCTTCCCAGGGATAGGAGTAGCATAAAAGAGCGAAGATGACAAAGAACATGGAAGTGAGGATAGCGGTTAACTGAAGGACAGGAGAGTGTTTTGGGGATGGTGGAAAAATAACTTCCTCTAGTAGCCCTAGTCATGGATCAGCTGTACAAACAGAACAAAAAAGATGGTCCCTGCCCCAATAAGCTTACCATCTAGTCTTTGCCATATTACAATTGAGTTGTTGGGACATCAGGGTGAGATGCCAGATGCAGTCATAGAATCATAGAATATCAGGGTTGGAAGGGACTTCAAGAGGTCATCTAGTCCAACCCCCTGCTCAAAGCAGGACCAATTCCCAACTAAATCATCCCAGACAGGGCTTTGTCAAGCCGAGCCTTAAAAACCTCCAAGGAAGAAGACTCCACCACCTCCCTAGGTAACGCATTCCAGTGTTTCACCACCCTCCTAGTGAAATAGTTTTTCCTAATATCCAACCTAAACCTCCCCCACTGCAACTTGAGACCATTGCTCCTTGTTCTGTCATCTGCCACCACTGAGAACAGCCGAGCTCCATCCTCCTTGGAACCCCCCTTCAGGTAGTTGAAGGCTGCTATCAAATCCCCCCTCATTCTTCTCTTCTGGAGACTAAACAATCCCAGTTCCCTCTTCCGCAATCTATTTAAAATCTTTTAAAAAAAGACTGAGATCAGATGAAAGAAGACAAATT